GGGGGGGAGGGCACGGGGGAGGGGTGGGATTTTACGTTCACTGGGGTGGGGACGGGGACGGGGACGGGGACGGGGGCGGGGAGTTTGGGGGGCGTGAGGAATGAGAGGAGCGAGAGGAGTGAGGAGGTGCCCGACCGTCCTAAGTGTGCGACAGGACCGAGCCCCGCGCCCCTGGAGCGTGAGCAAGAGGAAGACGAAGGGGAAGAGGAGGAAGACGAAGAAGAAGATTGGGAACCGGAGGCCTTTCCTCTCCCTTGTGTCTCCTCCGAGGGAGAAAGGCTGTTTGGGACTGGAGCTGAACCTGAAGCTAGTGACGAACCCGAACTCGAACCTGAACTCGAACCTGAACCTGAACCTGGCCTCGAACCTGAACCAGGACGCGAACTTGAACGAGGAGGCGAACCTGAACCAGGACGCGAACCTGAACCAGGACGTGAAGCAGCGCCTGAAGTGGAGCCGGTCGTCCTTTCCGTCCATCATTTGGGAAATGACACGATCCCGACACCGGTCCCAGATCTGGCAGACCGATCTCCAGCACGGGGAGCGATCAACCACATTTTGCCTGCTGCTACCTCGCACTCCCACTCCGCAGGCAAGGAAGCGAACGGGTTTCCCCGCGAGCTTCTCTTACAGAACGGGTCGTACCCCCCCTCGCACTCGCACGCACAGGACGCCGGGCATGGGCAGGCAGACGAAGAGGACCAAGAGCAAGAGGACCAAGAGCAAGACAAAGCAGAGAAAGCGGAGAAAGCGGACGTCCCTACTCCCCTTACCCGTTCCAGGCGTCCATCGACCACTCTCAGCGTTCCCCTCTCCCTTTCCCGTTCCCTTTCTCGTTCCCTTTCCCGCTCGCCTTCCCGTTCCGGGACTGGCGCAGGGACACAAGGAGAGACCTCGCACAAAGACAAAGACAAAGAGAAGGAAAAAGGGTTCTTGAACGGCTTTCGCAGGAGGCTGAGTTCTACTTCTGCCCGGGAGGGACGGGAAGGGAGGGAGAAAGGCCTCGTGGGGTTGTTGAAGCGAGGAAAATGGGCGGGGGGGGAGCTAGCCTCACCATGCACACTGCACACTGCACACTGCACGCAATAAGAAATGTATCTTTTGTCTCGTCTATCGCTAGCTACGTGGGTTCAGGACAGGAATAGGGTGGATGAGGATGAAAGTGAAATTGTAGTATTACTTAAGCTTACTACCTGGTACAGGACTCAGAGGGGATGAATGTGTTCTCCGCGTCTACGCGACCTGTGGTTGTTGCCTCTCGGCTTTGGCTTTTGGTGTTGGTTCAATGCCCCTCCAGTAGAGTAGAGTAGCAGTCCAGTAGCAGAGATTATGCTAGGTTGCGATGTCATCCCACCTCCGCCTCCGCCTATTCAGTTGGCCCACCCATGAGAAGTGCAGTACAACTGACGCTGGTCATGTGATTGCGTCGAGCGGTTAATGTAGGCAGTTTCGATCGACATAGACAGGCGATGGGAGGCGGTTGATGTAGGTCAACGAGGCAGGCGGTCAATGTAGGCAGTCGAGGTGGGCAGTCGGGGTAGGCAGTCAATGAAGGCAATTTCCTTGGGTAGCTGAGCGGCGCAGCGGGTGGTAAGCCTAGGCAGTCGGTTTAAGGTAGGTAGTCGAGGCAGGCGGTCGATTCGAGCAGTCAATGCGAGCAGTCAACACAGACAGTCGACCTGGGCAGTCGATCCACGCAGTCAAGTTCATACGATCCCACTGGGACACACATGGGTGCCCGGAACTGGTACAGCCTTGTTCAGAAGGCGTTCGAGTCAGGTGTCCCAACAGTATCAGATTTGAGTCACTGCCTGCCAGGTGAGATAAGTTGAGTCGGACGAAACCTCTTGACTTTGGCTTGTGTGGGAGGTTGGTGTGCCGGCTGGAGGTTGGTGATTTCTCCTGCTAGCCCACAGCCCAGGAACGTTTTCCCACCTGAAGCAAAACGCCCCATGTGTGGGCAACTCCAAAAGTGGAAGCGCCAGCGGTAGAGAAGGAGGGATATTGACAAAGTCCGGGGAATAGATGAGACGAGAGATGTTTTCTAGGGCAGCGTTATTCCTCTTCGAAGTGGTCGGTCCCTGCCTCTGCTTTGCCCATCTCTCCATTGGTGCGTACCACAGTCGCCGTTAGTTCCTGCATCCAGTTCAAGTAGTCCTGTAGCATCGTGCTGTGCAGAGCTGGCCGCTGCTCTTCCAGGTCCTGAAGAAGGGCAATGGATTCCCTCAGCGGGTGAAGGCCTCCTCCTTCCGGTCGCAGCCTCTAGGTACGCAGACTTCCTCTCCAGCGAGTACGCAAGCTCGGGACCGTAGCGCTTCGGCAGTCGCCGACGCTGCCGTCGATAGAGCCGGATATCTTCCTCCATCGTTTCCAGCGCTTCCGCGATGCACCCGCCGTCTAAGTACAAGGAGGCCAGTCTTTCCAGGTATTCAGTTAGGTATGGCGCGATTGTCGTCTTGGGCAGGTATCGTGCAGTAGATTCACGCTCTCATGTGCAGCGGACAGCGCGTCCGAGTAGCGATTGTGCCAGCGGGACAGACCCCGTGTGAGGGCGCTAATACCCCAGCAGAGGCTCTCACCGAGCACCTGTCTTTGAAATTCGACAGGTTCTTCCGTGTGCATGAAGATGCGTGTCGCCCCAAGGTTCCTCGCAGTGTGCTTCAGGAATAGAACTCTGGTCCGCAAACTATCTGCAAAACTTTCCTGGTCCCTCGGAGGATCGCTAAGGAACCAAGCGAGTTGAGGACAGTACGCTTTCCGATTAGCGGCAGAGACTATACGGCGCAGGTTAACGACTTCGTTCAGCACTTGACATGCTTCCTCTATGTATCTGCGGTCGGCGAGAAGGGCGACCAACTGATCCAGACAAAGGATCGTGGCCCCCATTCGTTGCGTTGAGAAGGTAGAGGAGGCTTTCCGTATATTCTGCAGGGCAAATTTGGCAACTTCAGCCATGCGAAAAGATACCGTTGCACCGACGGGTACTGTCGTGTGAGCAGCTTCGGCGAGAGAAGCATTTCCGGTTCCGCCGTCCGCAATTCCAATAGCCGCCGCGACGCTGTCGTCGGCCGCGGCCCATGCTTCTTCCACGCGAAAATTATTCATGAGCACCGCAGAAGCCCAGGTGAACAAGAAGACCCAGTGGTCATCCGATATACGGAGAAGGGCTTGTTTTCCAGCAGGACCATGGTTCTGAACCATTAGCCGGGGGATCGAAATCGAAGAAATAACACACCTGAAGCCATCTCCTCACATCAGAGAAGCCTTTGTATTCATCTAGGGCGATTGTAACGGACACTAAGTCTTGCAGATGTTCGTCCAGCAATAATTCTAAGGCGGACATAAACTCTGGGGTAGGATCGCGAACGTCAGGAAGATGGTGGGTCCAGAACGAGATTGCATAGGTAAGACCATCCGACATCGATTCTCGGGGAATTGGGCAAGTCAAGCTCTGGGCATGGGATCTTTGTTTTGGCTTCAAAATACGACACGTCTTGCTTAGGTGATCTTTGATGACTCGCACACAGAGAAAAGCGAGATGTTCACTGTTGTGGACTTGAGATAGTCGATACGGGGGAGTCGCTCTGTCCACGAGATACTCCCGAAGCGACAGATGCAAAATACGGATGGGTTCATCCTCACTGTCAAATCCAACGACGAAGGAACCCATCCGCTCAAGGAGCTCCAGGGGATCGACATCCGTATTGCCATGCAACAGACGCATTGCCGACAGAGTCAGCGGTTCTTTCGCGGCCAAGATGGAACCCATAAACATTTGATAAGCGTTCACGAAATCTTCGTCATCTGTTCCCCCAGTCCCATCAAGTACGGTAGCGTACAGCTGGTCCATACGACTGGCGACGGACGGAATGCGTTGGAGTGAAATAATGAGATCCAACTGCCGGTTCGGATTCATGCACTTTCCTAAGTATTCGGTTACCGTGAATGCCCATTGGAACAAGCCTTCAGACTGGTGTAACAGCGCTTTGGCCGCAGGCCGTGATGGCCACGGTTGTCCTAGACGCCGTTTGATGGCTACAGCTGCAAGTCGCTCGTCAAGATAAGTCTGCACGTCCTCTTGGCTTTGCATGTCCATCGTATCAAGCGACTTCCGGGTTATGTTTTCCACATGTTCGAAAGCGGAGCTGATCTCGGCTAGTGGCCGGGAAGTAATGACGACGCGAAAGAAACTGGGTAAATCTTTCACTTGACGTGTCAAAAGATGTAACAAGCCTTCGTCCAAGCCTTCATCGAGAGCATCGACCACGAATACAGCTGGCTCTGACCTGCTCCACTCCTTGCACTGTTCAATGACAAGCTTCCGAAACTGTCTCTCGATATCAGGAGTTGTTCGTAAGCTCACGTCATAGCTGAGCTTCTCCGCAACGGCATCTGCGATGTCCATATCTCTGCCCGCCAGGTCGCGGACGAGGGTGGTGACGATGTGTTTCTCTCGTCCGACATCCGGTTGAAGAAGAAAGACGAAACAAGCCATTCTCTCTCCGGAGCCACGCTCGCAATGGAGTTGGGTAGGGCCGTCTTGCCGATGCCGGCGAGTCCAGTGAGCCAGTAGATCTTGCGCGATTCCAACGAAGGGGCTTGGATCCAAGCGGTGATCTCGGAGAGCAATGCGGTGCGTGTTCCAGGCATGCAGGTGCTCGAAGAGTTATAGGATGCCCCGGCTGCATATAGGAGCTTGTCTAAAACGGCTGGGGGACTTCGCTGGAGATTGTGATGGATGGTTGCTGTATGGAGGATCAGAGCAGTCATTTTTATCAGATCGTGAACTCACACATCTCGCTCTGGAGGATCGACATGTTTGTATTTAGATCATTGAGATCGAGTGACTTTAGAGCAGCCACGAGAGCGTTCCGTTGTTCTATGTCCAAATTCAACTGACGGACGGTTGAGAATATACATTTCGCGTGGTGTATGCAGCTCGCCTGAAGGAGTCTGACCTTGTCGTCGAATTCATGCTGCAGTGCTCTGAGTTCTGTTGCATCTTCAGACGACCGCAACAGTTTCTCTATGTTCTTGCTACTCTCAAATCGGCGACAAATAACGTTTAATTTGTTTATGAAACTGCTCATATAATCAGCGCTAAGCTCAGTTTTTATGGGAGGAACCTACAGCGTGAGGTCCGCAACCGATTGAGAAAATCGGTTCAAATCCCCTTCTTGAGGTACGATAGTTTTGACTGCCTCCAATATAGTCGCAGCATACTGGCTGAACAGAAACCATTCGTTCTTCGTCTCGTTCATTTTCTTCAGTACCTGCGCACAGGCGTATGAGTACAAGCCACAATATTTGTACTTGGAATGCGTACATCATTGTTCCAGACTAATCGTGCGAGTGCGTCTTTTATCAAGGCGAGCTCCCAACTGTCTTCCTTCGGCGCCTCTTCGTCAGGACCGCCATGCGCAGTGCGGACATGTGCTGACATCAATGTTTTAAGGCTACCAAGTTTCCCGTCGCTCAAAGATATGCAATGCCGCAGACAGTTTTATATAAGAGAAGGGGTCATCCTATCAGTGGTTGTGTTGGTGACAGAAATCTCGGAAGGCCAGTAAGGGGCCATGCTGTGTCAAACTACTGAGGATTCGGCATTTGCCGCTGGGCGCTCCTGCGATTGATATCCCTGAGACTGACGTAGAAGCAAGCAAGTATATGCCGATGGTTGTACATGGAGATGGACAAGAGGAACGGCGGGACGGAAGGATGAACGACGGTATGGCGGGAAACTAAAAGGGGGAATTAGGGTTTGGGGGATTGAACTGGCGAGCCTACACGCCTACACCTGATTTCTTGATTCTTGGTACCTACAGTACTTTCCCCCTCCATTCCTTGTGCTTGTTCGACCCTGCCGGTCTGCATGTATCGTCTCTATTCTGGCGCAACCCGGCCTCTATTCACTCTAGTATACCACTTGTCGCACTACACACAATAGAAAAAATGTATTTTTTGCCTCGTCTACGCGGGTTTCCGGACAGGAAAAGGGAAGGTCGAGATGTACTATTAGTACCTGCGTGCTTTTGGCAGTTCGGGTCGGGTTGGGCGGGGAGTACGCTCAACCGATGATGATCTTCTCCTCGGCGTCGTTGAAGTCGTATGGGGGTATTTCGAGGTTGAGCTAGAGGCGATGAGATGAGTTTGGGATGGGGAGTAGAAGGGGGAACGTACAGGTGCGGGACCCTTGCGTGCACGACCGGCTGCAGGCTCATTAGTGGCGATCAAAGAACGGAAGGATAGAAAGTATCGTACAGATGTCGTAGTGCGACCCGTGGCAAGGGCAGAACCATCCACCATAATCACCGCTCTCGCCGATAGGGACACAACCCAGATGGGTGCACACGCCCAGCATGACAAGCCATTCCGGCCGCTTCGTCCTCGCCTCGTCCGTCTCCGGATCCCGGAGGGACTTGAGGTCCACATGCCGGGCATCATCGATCTCCGCCGCAGTACGATGGCGGATGAACACGGGCTTCCCGCGCCACTTGATGATCACGTTCTTCGCCAGGGGGATTGCGGACATGGACACTTCTACCTTGGCGAGAGCGAGCACGTCCGCAGAAGCAGCCATCGTTGCCAGGAAATCTGTGACGGTGGCCTTGGCCGCCGAGGCGCCGAGCAGACCCATCGAGCCTACCATGAAGTACGAGAAAGCGCGGTTCATTGATGGGCTCTCAGTCTTGTAGTGCGACCAGTCTGGCACGGAATAGGGGTTGGCGGAGGGGACCTTGGTAGAGGTGTGCATCCCACGGGAGACCGGAGCTGCAACCAATCAGAACGGTGCGGATGGTCACTATATGCGCGGAGGGACGTACCGTTCATCACTGTCCTGCTCTCGAACTTGGAGCCCCCACCCAGCCTGATCCCGCTAGCCCAAGAAGGAGGAACATCGCTCCTGGATAGGCTGTGACCATGGTCATGTCCGTGGTCGGCACCGTAGACCTTGGCGTAGAGGTTAATGCCCGGTACAGAGGGCACGCCCGAGGGAAGAGTGCGGACAGTCGACGCGAGGTTGAACGGCTTGAGCGAGACGGCCCGTGCTGGGAGCGCCATCGCTTTGAACAGGAAGAAGAGAGAACTGGGACGGGGGGAAGGGGTGAATGGACGGCGAGGGGATGGGCAACGACGACGAGGAAGCAAGAGTGCGGAACGGGTCTGACGTCGGAGTCTGTTTAGGGCAGGTCGGCACTATCTTCCCGGATACTTCCGATAGGGTTCAGCGCAATACACCATCTCTTGTTGCTTCTCTTCTTTGGTTCTTGTTGACATCCACTCCAGGGGTTTACCTTCTTGGATGCACTTGCCCATGGCACGCGGGATGCTCTGATATTCCTGTCAGCATTTAATGCACCTGAAGACTGGGAGCAGCGCAAATTTGGACATTAGTGCCTCTTCACACACATCGACTGAAAAGATGCAACTCGGAGTTCACAAGTCTCCCATGAGATACGATCCCCGAGGGATACAATCACAGTCAAAGGTGTTCGAAAATCACACCTATGCTATCGGGTTTAATTCTCTGATTTATCTTTCCTGTACTGCTTTAGCGCCCGACTTCCGCGGTTCGCACGGATGAACCACCATCCTGTGTCGCTTTAACGACGCGTCATCAATGCTCATGCCTCCCGAATCCTTTTGCGCGATCTCCCCAATCCCGAGTGTGCAGTGCCAAATAATGCTCATGCGCTGTACCTCGATATATGCTTCGGATTCCGCGGTGGACTGCTAGGCACGTCAGAACTACTTCAGTTCAACTGTTCCCATTTGTTGGCGTGCACTGCAACATAGTCGTTTTGGGACACCTTTCGCACGCGCAACATGCTTTGGATCCCGCCGTGGACTGTTTAGGAGTTGATCCGGATTCTTAAGTTCTCTCTAGTTACCTGCTTAGGTGAACCGTGGGATTTCTTTCTTTGGATTTTCAGACGGTTTCCTTCAACTTCTCCTGCATGATCCTTGGACACGCTGTGGGGATACGACCGTACACTGATAGGCCCAGTATGTAGTTGATGCCAGGAGCCTCAGCCTGGCGAGCGAAGTGATCGCAACGTATATAAAGGCGAGTCAAGCGAAGTTTACTCGGCATGGGCCGAGCGAACTCAACTCTCCCACCCTACTACAACAACCTTTTAAGAAATGGATACGGATACTTGGACACGCGAAAAAGAACAGCAAAACACTTCGGACATCGCAACTCGATTGAGCTCATACCGAGCCTGAGCCTAGAGGACACGCCGGTTCCTCAAGCAGGGCAGAACGCTCATGGACCTGTCCCCTCTCAGCAGTCGGCATCCTCGCTCCGCAGCTCGAAGAAGGGCGGGCCATTGGCACTGAAAATGGAAACTTCCCTTGAAGAAGCTTCCGGCCTCGATTTCGATACTCCAGAATTGAATATGTGAGCCAGGTTCACGCTCCCGACTGCCTGTGCGCTAACTCGAATTCAGCGAGCTGGACGATGATTCCCCTTACCCGGAGGTTAGGGCCACAGTCTCCAACACCGATGACCCGATGATGCCCACCAATACCTTCCGGATGTGGTTCCTTGGCATCCTCAGCACTGCGATTCTGTCGATCGTAAACCAGTTCTTCAGCATGCGTTGTACGTTTGACATTGGCGCTGCTTATTACACTTGACTGATTCCTCAACAGATCCAAGGATTGGCATTAGTGTCATTTTCGTCCAACTCTTGACCCTTCCCATCGGCAAGTTCCTCGCATATGCTCTGCCCAAGAAACAGTTCCGCATCTTCGGTTATGTGTGTTCGTTCAATCCCGGCCCGTTCAACATCAAAGAACATGCGCTCATTTGCGTCATGGCGAGCTTTGGTGGGGCAGCCTATGCCACCGAGATAGTTGCCACGCAGAGGGTGTTCTATAACCGAAACTGGGGTACACTGTACGAGATCTGCCTGGTCATCTCGACGTAAATGCTCGGATATGGTTTCGCCGGTCTCTGTAGGCGATTCCTTGTCTGGCCTGCGAGCATGGTCTGGCCCGGTATACTTGTGACAGTATCGCTCTTCACCACACTCCACGAACCTTCCAGCAAGACCACGGATCGCAGAATGAGCCGCCACAAGTTCTTCTACATCGCGATGGCCTGCTCGGCAGTATACTATTGGTTCCCCGGCTACATATTCCAGGCTCTGTCGATGTTCAACTGGGTCTGCTGGATCGCCCCGGACAACTCGGTCGTCAACTCGCTCTTCGGCTACACGTCAGGTCTTGGGATGAGTCTCCTGACCTTCGATTGGAATATGATCAACTACGTAGTCGGCCCGCTGTACACGCCTTGGTGGGCGCAGGTCAACACGTATGTAGCAGGTCTCCTGCTGTACTGGATCGTGACGCCAATCTGCTACTACTTGAACGTGTTTTGTAAGTTCGTCATTTACTCTTCCCACCGCAGCTCATAGACCATCAGATTCTGCCTACCTGCCGATCTCGTCAGTTTACGCATTCGACAATACCGGCTCGACCTACATCCCCGAGGCCATTACCGTTAATGGTGTCTTCAACGAGACGATGTACGAGGCCTACTCGCCTCGATACATGTCGGTGACTTTTGCCCTTGATTACGGGCTGTCATTTGCCCTCATCACGGCTGTGATCGTGCATACCCTCCTCTGGCACCGGCATGACATCGTCCGCCAATTCCGCACTTCCCTGTCTGAAGAAGACGACATCCATGCGCGGCTGATGAAGGTGTACCCTGAAGTGCCCGACTAGTGGTACGGCCTGCTCGGCTTGCTCAGTTTCGCCCTGGCGCTAGTGACGATCCTCGTGTGGCCTACAGAGCTTCCCGCGTGGGCGCTCATCATCGCCGTGATCATCTCCCTCGTCTACCTCGTCCCCACAGGCATCATCGTCGCCATCTCCAACTTCGACATCGGCACGAACGTCATCTCCGAGCTTATCTCCGGCTACCTCCTCCCAGGCAGACCAGCAGCAACGATGATCTTCAAGACCTTTGGGCTGATGACGACTCAGCAAGCGCTGGGGTTCGTCTCCGACCTCAAGTTCGGGCACTACATGAAGATCCCTCCGCGGATGATGTTCTCTACGCAGATCATAGCGACTCTCCTCTCAGGCATCCTGGTCGTCCTTGTTCAGGACTGGATGTTTGCGAACGTGCCTGGCCTGTGCACCCCGGACCAGGTAGACAACTTCATCTGCCCTGGTATCGAGATTTTCGGCGCGGCGTCCCTTATATTCGGCACGATAGGCCCGAAGAGGTTCTTTGCCACGGGCCTGTATACTCCTCTGCTCTGGTGCTTCCTTATCGGCGCGATTCTCCCCGTGATCTTCTGGTTCCTAGCAAAACGTTACCCCAACTCGGGGTTCAAGGTATGTTCCCTCCCCCTTCCCTCCCTAATGGACTACGCTAACCCTTCGTAGTGGGTAAACATCCCCCTCGCCCTAGGCGGGCTGGGCGCCATCCCCCCCGCCTCGGGGTACAACTACTTCTCAGCCTTCCTCGTCGGAGGACTGTTCATGTACTATCTCCGGAGATACCATTTCCCCTGGTGGGCAAAGTACAACTACGTCCTGAGCGTGGCGCTCGATTCGGGAGTAGCGATCACAGCGCTGCTTATCTACCTCTGTCTGTACCTGCCAGGTGGGGTCGTGGAACTGGTACGTCCTGCTGGCTTTTTGGCTTTTTAGAGCGGTGGCTGATGGCGCCTAGGTGTGGTGGGGGAATACGGTGTTTATGCAGAACTTGGACGGGGTGTTTGGAGCGTGGAAACAGCTCCCTCTGGGGGGGACGTTTGGGCTCACGAGCTGGTGAACACCTCCCATCTGAAATGCTCTTGCTGTGAAATCCCGTAGGCTACGTTTTCTTCCTCATTTTGATCCGCACCAGGCTCGTGAATCGTGTTTGTTACATAGATTGTTGATAAAGAATGCAGCTCTCATGTCCCGACTGTGGGTGCGTCATGCACAACCAAGCCGACGCAGGCAGCCCGCCGGATATTCCCCACGACCGCTCTCCAGAGCTCATGAACGAGCACGAACTATAGGGCTGGCGTGACTCAACCCTGCTTAGTAACGCTTTTCGAATATTTTGGATATTAGATTCTGAGTTATTTTGGTATTCGGTTTTCTGGTTTGGTTATTTTGGGCATAACGACTGCCGGAGTACTTGTGCCTGGTGAGGTCAGCTGCCGCGTGGGTTTCATAGGTTGGTGCACATGTTTTGGAGTGCGCGTGAAGATGCGTTGGTGATGGACGCCAGCAGTATCCTTAAGAAAAGGGGGAGTGCTCTGATCCTGATCCTGGCCAGGCCAGGCCAATAATGACCAATTCTAAGTGTATGTACTGCAACCTCGAGCTCATATTAATATTTTTTGGCCCTAAAGTCTCGCCTATCGCGTTGCCAAGACCGACAAACGTCCCCCATTGCACCCGACAACCGGGATTGAGATCGAGACTTTCCCAAAATAGAAACGGCAGCAAACACGGCGACGACGGTAGAGAAAAGTCACGAGGCTTCCATCTCTTCCTTCCACCGGTATGTATCGGTATGTGTACGTCGGGTGCTCTGTGCTGGCATTAAACAAGAGATGAATATGGAAAGAGGAAGAGAGTAGAGGAGGATTGGGTTGATGTATTCATGAGTGATTAGATGGAATGGAGGGTGCCAAGACAATCGTGACGCGGTATTGTCGTGATCCGAGATAACCCAATGATTGAACGACGTCACCCAACTACTTGCCAGTCTAATCACTCGTCCTGCTCCACTATCCTGTTGTCACATAAGAAATAACGCATGCTCTGTGTGTTATTTTTTACCTTCTTCTGGAGGGAGCGATGCCGCACTCGGCCAAGTGCAAAAAGTGTGGAATGAATGACCAAAATAGGCCCGCTCTATTTGACAGACCCTCGTGTTTTGGGGTGTTACAAAGGCCCCCGTCGTACGGGTTCCATCCTCCCCTCACCCCCTTCCCCCCTGCTCGACATCCTGCTCGACACCCACCACCCATCCACGATCTTTAACCACCACCACCACCACCAACCCCCCCTTACCCGCCGTACCCCGGCAATCATTCCCTACCTTCATCAGTAAATATGCGTTCTCTAGCTCTCCTCCTCCTCCCTCTTGCAGCAACAGCCCGCATGCAAGTAGAGAGGCAAGCAACATCCACAACGTCCGGAGCTGCACCTACAGACAGCTCTGCCTCTTCTGCAGCAGGTTCCAGCGTCACTGCCGCAGCTGCCGTAGTCACTCCGATCGATACCATCACACCTACTTTCCTCAGCACGAACCCGACCGCAGAACCACTTAGCAACATCATCGCTTCCCCCTCGACGGACCCGACGTATGCAGTGTTCACGAGCTTCGCACCCGGTGCCACTCCCCCCATCAGCGGGGCACCTCCCCTCCCCTCCGGTACGTCCAAGTATACCTAGAAAAAAAAGCGGTCAACAACTGACTTCTTGCAGGGAACATCATCCCCGCCGACTGGCCCGCGCTGGACGTAGTCCCCCCGACGGACAGCCCGCAAGTACAACAATGGCTCACAGAGCTGAACGGGATCTCCGTTCCCAACCTCACCGCGACTCTCCCCGGTGGGTGCGAGACGAACCCCACCCTGGTCGGGGACCCCTCGCGCTGCTGGTGGACGTGCGGCGAGTGCACGCGTGAGACCGATATCACCACTTGCCCGGATAAGATGACTTGGGGCCTGTCGTACGACGACGGACCGACGTGGAACACCCCCGCGCTGCTCAACTACCTCCAGAGCGTCAACCTCAGGAGCACGTTCTTCGTCGTTGGTAGTAGGGCGATCTCGAGGCCGCAGATCTTGCAGGATGAGTATATGCTCGGGCACCAGGTTTGCGTGCATACCTGGTCCCACCCGTACCTGACTACTCTCACCACGGAGGAGGTGCGTGCTTCATCAGCCCGCTGAGGGGAGAGCAGTTGCTAACGCGTTTCGCAGATCGTCGCCGAGCTCGGTTGGACGAGGGAAGCCATGCGGCAGATCATCGGTGTTTCCCCCAACTGTATGCGCCCGCCGTATGGGGACATCGACGACCGCGTGCGCGCGATCAGCATGGCCATGGGGATGACGCCGATCATCTGGACGACGTACAAAGGCGTGGACTTTGATACGAATGACTGGCATATCCCTGCTGGCACTGTGAGCGCGAACGACGTGCTAGGCACGTTCCAGCAGATCTTGACCCAGGACGCGCCGAACTTGAACAGTGGGTTTATCGTGCTCGAACACGACCTGTACCAGCAGACCGTTGACCTGGGTAAGTCGCTCCCTCCTGTTAAACCAGCAACTACTCACACAGGCACACAGCGGTCGGCTACGTACTCCCCAACGCCCTCGCCTCAGGCTTGTTCCAGATAATGCCCATCATCGAGTGCCTGCACAAGCCGCTCGCAGACTCCTACGTAGAGACAAACAACAACCAGACCAACCCTCCCGGTCAGGGGTACACGACCCTCTCCGCCACAGAGTCGGGGCCGACGGTCCCCCCGGGGAGCAGCCCCACGGGTACGAGCAGCCATTCAGGCGCGGAGAGATTAGTGGGAGGGGAGATGATGTTGGCTGCGCTGGGAGGTGTCGCCCTCCTGCTGTCGATCTTTTGAGACCTGTGAATTGGCTGGGCCGACGGGCTCGGAGATGCGACTCTGATGGCGATGGGCGGTGCTGGCATGACATGCATATGGACGGGACATGAACATCTAGGAACAACAGCCTGAGACCGAGATCAACAGTGATCGGTTGAATAAGGTCATTTGGTTAATGGGCAACATGGACCGCATTCTTTCTCCCCTCTTTTCTTTTCTACTTCTTCATTTTTTATCTTCTCATATCCCCCATCTCCCAGCTTCTATCTCCTACATTTTCTTGTATACTTCTTCGTCGACTACGGCTTGCTGGAAGCTGGAAACAGCGCTCGGTATGAGCTGGCAAACGTCGGTAATCTTATGGGAGAAATGAGACCGTCCATTCGTTTGCTTTCAGATTGTGGGGTTGTGTGACTTGGAAACACGTGATCGACCTATTGAAGGAATGTCTTGCTCAGGTTGACGGCTGATATGTCCCATGCACACTCCGTACCAGTACTCCTCCACATCTTTGGTGATGCCAGCCCTGAGCTCGATGATACAGTCTGTCATCTCGGCACCTTGCTGCTCGCAGGGCCTGCGTGAAGGGATAGTCTCGATACGCTCTGCCATCACTAGCTCGGGGTTGAACGCCTGAACCGTGAATCATCCTTCTGGTTCGTCAGCCCCTCCCGATCTATCTGCTTGCGAAAGCGTCCTTTCTCCCTGGAGGTGCTTGTGTAGACCACGAGTTCCGCTCGAACACCTCTGTTTCTAGAAAGTGAACTAAGAAACAGCCATCTCATGCGAGATGATCCCACCTGATTGTGAGCGGTGCGTACAGGAGCGACTGAGATCACCAAGATGTTGGTAAGCCTCTGCCCTGTGCCCGAAAAAAATGCCTTTCAGCGCAACGAGGGTTGTCTCCTGTAGCCGCGAAAGGTGCGTTCTCCAGCGATCCAGTCGCAACGCCGTATCAGGCATGAGAGCATCGTATCTCTTCACAAATCAATTACTGTGTTTCCGGTGTACGTGATGAACAGATGCAGCATGCGGGCATAACCGACATCCCCTGAGAGTCCAAATACCAGGTCCGGGGCTAGCCTGCAATTCGTGATCACAAGTTCTTTGCGCCGCACAGCGAGTTTGATGTTGGTTCATATGGGGATTCTCAACTGTCGAACAAGGTAATGTGATAGATATCAATGTACTCTTGCGCCATCTCGGGAAGAGATGTGATGCTCCCGCCGGCATGCAAGCATGTTCGAGGGAGTGGGATGCACCAGTCAGGTGGAGAACTGGAGGAGAACAGGTGTGTGCGCGACATGAAGGGATAACATGAATCTGGAGATACATCCATCAGTCCCCTGTTGGTCCAACAAAAGCCAGATAAGTGCTCACATGATCAATCACTGGCCCATTCTCCGCTGCATTCGAAGAGGAACATCTGCTGACGACTCCTCACAACAACAGTACTATCTGTGACAAGTCACAGGGAATGATGTCCTCATTTATGGCTACGCTGGGGTCTATTGTCGCTGCAGAGTCCCGTAGCCTGCGATGATGGAGCAGAGTAAAGCAAGTCGAATCGTTGGTAAACGGGGAACGTGTTGGTTAGGTTCTCGGAGCCGAAGCCTCGTCTCCGATACGGCTTCACAAAGCAACCCTGTCCACCTCAAATCTCTCAACGATACACGACAAACCGCTCTACAACGACCCATGTATACATACGACATATCCTCATGGCCGATCCGCAATGATCGCTGTACCTCTCTGAGCAGCAGCTGGTATCGGATGCGTGAACCAGACCAGGGCACCGCCGGATCTTGTCATGCAGGACTTCCGTTTCGTCACTCTCAACAGCTCGTCACTATTATCTCATTGCCGCGATCGGTTGTCTTCCACTTACAGAGTTTCGATCTAACTACCGCTTAATGTTCCATCTGTTGTATCCCAGGAGGGAGCTCGATCGTCCCCTTTTGGGGCTATGGCGATTCGCATAGAACCCAGGCCTGTTGATATCTTGGGGAGCTCCCACCATCTGAGCGCGCACTGCCCTTGAATTCGGGATCTTCTCCCAATATCTTGGGTGTCATGCATAAGCATGTTGCCCTTCGATGTTATACAAGCGTCATCGGCGGAAGGAAGGAGACTTCGGCTCCTAGTCGTGGCACGTTCGCGTCCTTGTGCTTGCCAGGTGACTCTTCTACTCTGGGTCGATCTTCTCAATAACAACCCAACTTCGTCTCTTGCACATCTATAAATCCTGATCCTAGATGCTATTGTAGTGCGCCTACCCTCGCCGCTTGTTCTACGACTGCTTCAGCTCACCCTGCTGACTTCTTGTCATTGTCTTTGTTCTCCGGCCACTTCAGTTCATCATGTTGACTCTAAACTCGCTTCTCGCTGTTGTTTTTATCTACTTCGTGGTTGTATCTACTACCCCCATCAAGTCCGTCCATGATGAGGGGGTGTCAATCGCTCTCAGCAAGCGCAGCAATCTCCACTTCGAAAACGGGGTTGTGAACTTGGAAGCGCTCAGGAATCAGCTGTCAAACGTACAGAAGTGCGTGAATCCTTGTGTCTTAGAGGCAGTATGTTCATCCGTCCCTTGCTGAATTCAGCAAGTACTCCCGCAACTTGAAGCAATATGAAGCGAATACGGGCAAGCCTCACAGTCTTGCTGCCGGGTTCTTTCGCAACTTGGAGAAGCGCGACACTGGTTCCAATGCATTGACGGATGTCAGCCAAAATATGTGGTACGGAACCGTTCATGTGGGCACACCTTTCGCAGTCGTATACCGTGGATGTGAGATCTGTCCATGCAAGATGGCTTCATTGTCTCATCATCTCTAGTTCGATACTGGCTCGAGCGACTTTTTCCTCCCGGACCCCTCTTGCTTTGACTGTGGTAGTCATCACACCTACGACCCGTCCCAATCCTCCACGTCCACTTACCTGGGAAATGATTTCTTCTTGTCCTATGGAGATGGTTCGGAGAGTTTGTGAGCAAACTTTAGATTGCATCTTGTCCTTTCATTCATTTGGTTCACCAGTGGCATGCAGTACAATGACGCTGTATCAGTCAGTGGTCTGACAGTCCAAGTCCAGACTTTGGGTGCAGCCGTTTCTTACTCGGTCGGATTTGAGCGTATGGTTCCGGACGGTCTCATGGGTCTGTCCGGAGTTCTTAAGGGGTAGTTACATCGCTGACTGTATTCCTCATAGGTCTCGCTTGGCCCCAATTATCTGACTTCCCTGCGACACCCTTTATTTTCAACCTCTACGACCAAGGCACTCTCTCTTCTAATTCATTCTCATTCAAGCTCGCAGAATCTGGGTCCAGTCTCTTCATTGGCGGTGCAGACTCGTCCCTGTATACAGGCAGCTTCTCTTATACCCCAGTCACCGAGCAAGGCTTTTGGCAGGTGACAGCCGACGCACTCCTGATTGGGGATACCGTAATCGCAAATGACCAAGATTCGGTAGTTGATTCTGGAACCACACTCGTAATCGTCGATCCTATCACGTTCGTCATCGTATCCTACGATCTGCAACTGCTGACCCTTTAGCAGTGCCGGCTTACTGTACTCGAACATTCCTGGAGCCCAGAAGGACTCGTCTGTCGGACGCGGGATTTATACCATGCCGTGCGATAATGTCCCGAGCAATGTCAAAATCATCTTTGCCGGCCAGACGGTCACCATTCCGCCCGATGTCTTCAACTTTGGTCCACTCTCCCAGGGTTCGACGACGGTTAGTCCTAAATTGATTAGAACCATTCATGGCACTGCGGCTGACCGTACACACAGTGTATTGGTGGCGTGGCGGCTGGCAAATTCGGGTTCTGGATTCTGGGCGACGTCTTCATGCGCAATGTCTATACCCAATTCGACATGGAGAACTACCAGGTCGGCATCGCAGCTCTGGCTTAGGGGTTACCATGGACCTTGACGCGATTGGTGTGCCGGTCTAGCGCATAGGATATATATTTCCGAATGTGAATGTCATAATATCAAGATACTTGCTGGCCTTAGCAATTCGGTGCAGTTCCCAAGCCCGGGAACGGAGAGGGTGTGGATGGCTCATTCTTTCTTACGTACCGGGCGTGTGAGGCGGTCCGACGGGAGAAACAGTGAAGCTCTTGTTCTTGCACCGATGTGGAAGGAATATGAATTGAGAGGGAAGATGAAGATGAATGAAGTCGTTCGCCTCAGGTTGGAGCTAGCTGGAAGGGGCATCAGGCCAGGACACATGTTATCCAGCATCCGCTCTTCGTGGTTATTAGGCAGTTCAATGGCAAGGTGTTCTCTTCTCGGAAATTGAAACCCCCAGACCATACATTAGATGCCTGTCGATGCTATTAAGCGCATGTCCATCAGGACCAGCGCCCAATCCACCCCCTCACACTCCTCTTCACATCTCTGTGCGCCTGCTTCCCTCTCACCTCTCCCACGCCCTGCAGCTCACTCCCCTCCCACTCTACCCCCAGGTCCCATTCTTCCAATTCCAGCCCTGCGGCCCGGGCAGCGCCCAGCCAGGCCTCGGCTCCGCTGGCTTTGGTGTACGTGCCTATCGTTATGTACGCTCGGGCGCTCGGAGTGTGGGCGAGCAGATGAGTGAGGGACGTGAGCAGCGGGGAGATGGGCGGTGTCAGGTGCAAGAGGTCCGCGAGAAGGAGAACGTCGTACCCCTCCTTACTTGGGGGGAGGAAGGACCTACGACGATAATCAGTATCAGCATTCTCCTCTTCGTCATCGGCACTATTCCAGCGTACAGCAATTCGCTCACATCGTCTCCCCAGGCATAACCCCTCGCGTGCACCGGACATCGCACTTGTGCTTTGTTTCGTTCGACGTTGGCCTGCAGCGCTTCCATAAGGTCTGAATCGGGATAGTCGGTCAGAACGACCATCTCCGGTCCGTGGGAAGTGAGGGAAGCAGCGACGAGTGAGGGGATGCCTGCTCCACATCCCAGCTCCAGGACTGAGCGAGTCAGTGGACAGCGAGGTACGGGAGAGACGAAACGCACCATATCGGCCCTCCACGTCTATCCCTCCAGCCTCGATACGCTCTGCCGTCACTAGCCCGGGGTTGAACACCTGATCCGCAAGGAGCGTGTTTGCCTTTCCTGCCTACTGCGGTTGATTAGTCCGAGAACTTGCTTGGCTTGGACGCACACACACGAGGAGGACGGGAGACGACCAGTGAGCCGAATGAGACGGTCGGGAAGTCTGGTATTGGTGCGGCTCCTAGTAGGTCGAGGGAGGAGGAGAGGATGTCTAGGGAAGAGTCAGTTTCGCGCTCCATTTGAGCTAGAGAAGTGTTGGTTCAAGATGATGAGTCCAATGGGACAGGGTCTTCTTCGGAAAATATGATTAGAACACTGACAGCACGACTACCGTGTCATAGCATGGATCGAGGAAATGGTAACAAGATTTTCAATATGCAGAGGACAACCACGCTGTAGCATTCCCCCCCCTGGTTCGTTAGCCCGTCTGTGGCAGATCAGCTACCATGTAGTTGCGGGTGGAAGCATGGCCCAAAGGTCAATAATATTCATGTGGCATTGAAGCAGGAATAACTGTTCAAGAATTACAAAGGACCGTGCAGACTGTAGGCGTGAATAGAGTGCGAGCGTGAGCTCGAATTTTGGTTAAGTCGATCGGAAAGTTTATTTGCCCGCCCTCCTGCGCTTCTTGGGCGGGGCCTCTAGGTCGATCTCTTCCTCATCGTCCTCTTCGTCTTCCTCCTCGTCATCCGTGACATCCTCCATGTCTTCCTCTTCGAAGTGCGCGGACTAGAGGAGAATTTCAGTGGAAGATAATATGTTAAATAGGGCACATACAAATTCGCCCTTGCCAAGGTAGTAGTCCATGACTAAGTCAGGAGATTAACTCTTCGCTTCAGAATGAAAAGACAAGGCGTACCATCAGGGTAGATTTGCTCCACAATTGTGTCAAAGATGCCAGCTGGGTCCTCTTTCTCCTCGAAGAGATTGAAAAAGCTGCCCTGCTCCATGAAGTCACCCTCCGGATCAACCTGCGGTGGGTGAGCCTTCGCCAAGCTCTTGCCATCCTTCCAGTCGATCTTAAACGCCTCTGCCTCAAGATGGAGGTCAGGTGAGAACTCAAGGTGCTCGGGTGTCACCTCCTCGGGGGGAGTGGCCTTGGCCGAACCTGTATACTTGAAGTTCTTTGTGAGCGTCTTGTTGCTGAAATACGGATTCTCTTCGAATTCCTTCGTTGCCTCTATGTCAGCAATGAGAACCAATTCGCACGGATCAATCACATACGAAATCAATCTGGTAAGCCCTCGGCTCTCGATCATCCCTCTTGATGTCTACGTTGCGCAGGTATGATAGCGCGTCCATGTCATCCGGCAGAGACAAGCGATGTTCAAGCTCCGCATGGTTAAAAAATGCGACAGGCCATAGCATAGGCATCCGGGCGCGAAGGGTCTCGTTACGCTTTCGGTAGAGGGGGTCAAGGGTCGCGTTGCTGAGACGTTCTGGAGTCCAGTTTAAAATGAGCAAGATAAGAGGATATTCAGCTGACCAAGCCTTAGGTTTGCAATTTGGGCTTCTACAAGGGCAATAAGTCAAACTGTTCGCGTATACATCACGCGTTCCAGTCGCACCTTTAGCCAGCTCCGCGAACAGCTTCTCATCCTCCTCGGTGAAGTCGACAGCGTATGACTCCGGGATGGCACTCGGCACATCAGGTTTCGAACCGTTGGCGTTGGCCTCCATTGTCGGCTGGTAGAAATATGCGAAAGAAAAGGGAAAAGGTGGTAGAAACGAAAGAATGCAGAGTACAGCTTATTGAGGCAGAAAAGTGGGCACTTTTGGAGGAAGGGGTACGGAAGCAGACGCGTCGGGGCTCGCGCGCCGCTTTCTTTTGCTCCCGTCGCCTGGTTGAGAAGACAACGTGATGGGTCGCGTTTGAGACGCCGTGCCGACCATAACATTGACATTGATATTCTCCCCATATCATAAACTACCTGTAACGTTATTGCAGATGCCTTCAACATAGTGGAATATTACGAAGAATATTTCCCTTATAATCAAGCCAAGTCACATTCTTTCCGGGCTTCACGCTACTGGCTACCGTTGTCTCGGACCACCTTGGTAACGAAACACATCAACACCACTTGAGAGCATTTGGATTTATTGCGCCACCTCGACGAAAACATGATACATGGAACTGCGTGTCTATATTTGCGATTGTGATTGAGGCGAAGAAGATACGTGTAGCGAGTGGGACAAACTGACAACCGGAAAAGATCGGAGAAAAATATGCATGCATAGTCAATTCGGAGATTCGGGCGTTATAGCTTGTCCGCTATATGCATACCCCGAAATTCCGGCATCGGGGTATCTTCTTCCCAGTCCGAATCCTCGTACCTCTTAGATGACCTTTGGACGCGACGTGCGATTCCTTTCTCGGGCATGCCTAGCTTACTGAAGTATCGCTTAGACTTGTTGACCCGCAAGTACAAGGCAAGCTGCGTGTGGTTCTGGAGCTATGAGCCTGGTCAGACATCTTTCTTCTGCAATTGAAGAGACTAATTACCCGATCATGAATCCTTTCGTAAAGATCGTTCATTTGGATCTCAGGCTCCCGGTTCAAAATCCAGCCTGCACAGTGCACAATGAACCAATCCTCTGCTTCTGTGTATTTAGTATCTGTTCACATGGGTTAACACTTGCCAGTCCCAAATGCAACACGGTGGACGTACGGCGCTTGGAACCTGGTTTGCGAGAGCGGATTTGTGGCACGGGAGGTGGCTCTTCATCTGTGATAGTCCATATCCGGCCGTCCGCCATCTTGTAGGTGGGTTCCTTCATACAAGCGGCCTTGGATTGGTCCGGATATCTAGGAACAATAGCAGCCTTTAGAATGGGGATAACAATCAAAACGTGATGAAACTACTGACCCTCCTCTGTATGCACGTCGCTTTTGTGATCTGTCCCGCAGATCACCGCTCTTTGGATCATACTGCACCACCCGTAGATCCGGGCCCTTCTCTAAGAGGGCCGTCTCGGTTCGTTCATCTGACAATGACCCATAGGATGGCGGCGCCGGAGAGTTGTAGCTGTATCGGTCCGGGGATACTGAGGGGTTTGAACTAGATGATAAGGGGAATGCTGACGCGTGATTCTCAAGAGTGCGAGGAGGATAGTAGACTTTTTCATGGTGGCCCAGTAAAGGATTCTCGAAGGTCGTGTCTTCCCGGAGTGGATCAAGATAGGCTGGCGTATAGCCCGGCGGAGGGATTATACGTGCGCGATCCCCGTAGATGTAATCCTCGCGATATCCGCGGGGACTGGAGAGGCGTCAGTCTGCAATCCAAACAAGTGGCAAATTTTCAGCTCACTATTGAACACGATTGGCGGGATCTCGGCCGAAAGTATATTCGAAATAGCCTGGATGGGTTTGGGGTTGCAAGGGATATGGGTCAGGTCGGTGATAAAGCGGCGAGCAGGTTCTTTCCCTGTCATATGTTCTAGACTCTCCTTGATATTGAGGGGCGGAAGCTGATCGGTCCTCGCGGAGGTGCCGAGTTGACGGCCAGTCATATGGTCTAACCCAAGGTCCACCATCGTGCGCACGGCTTGAGCCAAAACCAGCAGAAAAATGGTCGGGAGGCGAACGACTATCTCTACTAGATGTCCATTCTCCTCTGTACACGTAGTTTGGCCGGTACGTAGAGGAGGAAAGCGGAGTGGCATCGTCTCTAAACAAGCCAAGCGCATGAATTGAGGGAAGCGTCACCTTGTCGGCACATGTTGAAACAGTGAGTGATGGTCGACGAGATGTGTCGTCACCAGAGCAGGTCGAGCGTTCAAGAACCATCCGATCGGCCCAGTTCAGTTCGTCCTTGAGCGACCGCGATTCAGACCCTTTACGATTTGCGGACGCCCTGTGTTGATTGACCATCTGATTCGCCCAGTTCGTCTCAGCCCCAAGAACAGGATTAGCAATAACACAAAGTTTCATCCATTTCGCGTCTAGCACGACCTGATGGGGTTGAGTGCAGATGGGATCGTACGAGCGGCCAGCGTCGACAAGAATGATATCCGAGTCTGCTATATCATGGCAGACGATGCCGCCATGATCCTACGGACCGTTAGATGACGCGTAGCTAATAGCGCAGCATGGGTGACTCACAAGGATGTCATCACGGAGAGCTGTGGCATTTTTCTCATCGAGAGCTTGAGAGTACAAGTGGATTGACAGGGGACGCCCATCTTTCCCGAACAGTAACCCCTTGAGAGCGGGGTTGGCGTCGTACATGGAAAGTCGATGGTGAGAGAGGGAGGCGGTACGTGAAGGACGAAGGAGAACAAAAGGAGGGAGGGGCTTGCCGAGGCTCGAGAGATTTCATTGTTCTAAAGGCCAGGAGGCCGGGATATGACCAGTGATGATGCAGGTTTGCCAGATCGAGCAACGCGATACGTGGATTCGTCACCCGTATTGTGTTGCCGCGGGAAGACGGACTGACCCTCTCTATTGTTCGTCTTTGTCGTAAGTACCAGTGTCGGAGGTAACGTCTCCCAGAGATTGGAATGGGGAGGTGTAAAGGCGTTTCAGCCCAAGTGAGCGTGATTTGAAGTTAAGCTAGAAGACCGCTGGCCTCTGACCTATGGAACGTTGACAGTGCGCAGGCGCTATGCGCGTGTGGAGGACGAGATGGTGAGTGTGTTGTTGTAACCGATTTGACCAGGGTATGCTATGTGTGATTCCTTCCTCCTATAAATACGAGCCTTATTCTGGGCCATCGTGACCGCCGGACACGGCCATATCCTTCGCTGGACCGGGGTAAGCGTACCAAACAAGGCAAAAAATGAGCATAAGACCAAAATGCTGTGCTAAAAGCGGCACTCAGAAGTTTTGTACTTCCCAATCAGGAACGCGAATAGTGCGGCGGTTGAGTGGGGACCAAACAAAAGGTAAGGGCCAGCGATTTCCACTTCTTTTGTTTGTGTATCCCTTTTTCCCCCACGACTGTTTGCTGGCAAGGATCGATTCGGCATGTTGGCTGTCGAGAAGCACCGAAGCCCTGAGGTAGGTGACAGGCCGATTAGTCCCGGCGTGCCCAATTTCAAATTGAGTATCTCCGAAGCTGGACCGGCACTAACTGCCTGAAAGGCGATGGGTTTCATCACTCGACGACAGGGAAGCAGGCCGCAACCACCGTTTTGGCATGGGTGTACGCCGCAGCAGCTGGCGATTCCGTTTCACCTTGGACAACGACTCGCTCCGAGTTGGATAGAGGACACGTACAACGACACTTGATCTGGCTCCGGTGAGTCTGATCGAGATAAGTTCACGTGTAATCCCCCTTTCCTATTTGGGGAGTGAATCGGACAATTCAAAAAAGAAGCTGATCATCGCAACAAGTCAGCACGGCAGGGAATAAACTTCCGCTGGCAAAGAGGCGGTAGCCATCCACCGTTGACTTCGGCACGTCGCGGACTATACCCTGAATAGGCGATTGTCCCAATGTCGTTGCAAGAAGAAAAAATGTCGTATGCATCGTAGCTATTATTACAACAACTGAACTGTGCCAGGGTATAATGTAACTGTACATGTGGATAAGTGGAGAGGAAATGAGCAATAATATAGGAGGCCAGCGCGTCACAGATACCCTCAGTACTGTACAAACACCAAGTCCACCCAAAGGAAGTACGATCTGGGAAAGATATGAAGGTAGCCGAATAATCAAGCGGCGAGCAAAAGTCTCGCGTCAGGAAGGAGGATGTGGCGCCAGATAAGTCAGCGCGTGACCGAATTACGAAAGTCAGCAACCCTTTTTGTTGTGTGAAAAGCGGACCCGTTTCGTTCTCGAAACGTGAGGCGCTTACTCGAGCGCCTATACTCTCCAGGATCGAAACGCCAGAAAGTAAGGCCTAGCTAGGTCCGCCATTGGCGCCGCCATCCCAATACCGTGGCGCCGATAGTCCAGTGAGGATCCTGTACCAGCCGGAGCAACCGGTGGAACGAGGCCAACCACATCCACGGATCTGGGAGGCGCTGTCCCAGATGCTGTAGACTCAATCGTGCCATGGGGCGCGCAGGGCAAAAGCGAGCGGCTCTGACTGCCGAGCGCGGTGGCGGATCATGCAAGCACACAATCGTCTCCTCCGAATAGTGGCGATAGTGTTCTGCGGGCGACAGCAACACCTGAGTACGAGGGCGCCACTGGGTTGGGCTCGACATGGCTCCGTGACAGGCTGTCAGGGTAGGGGTGGCTCAAGACCACGAGCCGATTGGCGGGCCAAAAGTGCTCGGGTTGTCCCCCCCAAGCGGGAAGAGGGGTCGAGCCTGTCCATCAGCCGTATTCGCCGAAACGGTGTTGCCCCTTGTCTACGATCAGCGCCTCATCCAGAATAAACCAAAAAACAGACGGGACGGGACGCACCACCACTGAAGGCCCGTGGAGCCGTACGGCATGAAGAGGACGAAAAAGATGACGATGCCAGAGAGGACGGTGCCTCCGTCCAGGGCGGCGGAGAGGATGTAGTTGTACCTCGACCACCACATGAACCGTTTTCGACGGATGAGGTACTGGAATATGAACCCTGCGAGGCCCCAGGAGGAGTAGTTGATCCCTGTTGCCGGGGGGAGGTAGGACGTGCCGGCGAAGATGATCGGGATGTTTACGTATCTGAACCACTGCGTTCTGTCAGTAGTTGTCATTGTCATCCTCAGTCTGGAGGAGCTTACACTGGCTGGGTAACGCCTGGCAAGGAAGTAGAATGGGATAGGAAGGATAGCGCCGATAAGGAAGAACCACATTAGCGGGGCGTACGTCCCATGCGGGCCAAACAGCCTCTGCGGGCCCACACCGCCAAATATCACCGAAGCAGTAGCGAATACGTGAATCGCCGGGCATGTGAACCCGTCCACCTGCCCGGGAGCACACAGGCCTTCTATATTTCCAAACATCCATATCTGGACAAAGACGACCACGAAGCAGGCCACGAGCGCGGCGATCGTCTGGGCCATGAACATGATCCTCGGAGGGACTTTCATGTAGTGTCCGAACTTGAGGTCCCCGACAAAACTCAGCGCTTGAGTCATGGTGATATACCCAAAAGTCTTGAAGATCATCATCGCGATCGGTTTTCCTGGCAGTGCGTACCCAACAATCAGCTCGGTGACGACGTTTAGCCCAATCTGCTGGTTGGTGATCGCCTGGAGTATGCCGAGGGGGATGACATACACGATCGGGATAGCGAGGGAGAGGAAGTAGGCCCAGACGGGGAGCTGCGTGTCCCAGTGCTCGATGGTGAGGATGCCGAGGCCGAGGGAGACGAGTCCGATAGCCGCGTACCACCAGTAAGGTACTTCTCGATAGACACTCATGAGGCGGGAATGGACGTCGGGCTCGTCTCGCAGGGAAGCGCGGAATTGGCGGATGATGTCCTCGCGGTACCAGACTGGCAGAGATTGAGGTTAACGCGGAAGGAAGGTGTGTATGAAGGAGGGACGCACGAAGAGTATGAACGATCGTCCCCGTGAGAGTGGCGAACTGGACTGCATAGTCCATGGCGAACGTCGCCGGGATGAAAAGAGGCGAATATTCTTTATCTATCGCAGCGTCAGCCAGCGATTCCCATATCTTCTAAATGACTAGGGCTTCTCCCTAGTCAGCACACGAGGAAAAGGTCGGGACGTACAAGCAGTAACGTTAAATGCCCCGTTGGCAATCACCCGCGTGACGTTATACACCTGAGCAGTGTTGTCATACCCATTTCCAGTAGACATTGGAAGATACGCAAGGTAGAAGACGTTCTTATCTGTGTTTCGTTAGCTGTGACTAGAAGTTTGGGACAAATTGGGCGAAGGCTGAACAGAAGCTAAACAGCCGGGGCAGAGGGCAAACCCAGCCGAACCTCGTGCAGAACCAGAGGCAGAACCGAAAGAAAAGAAGAGCGCAGGAAAAAAACACGCACAGTACAAAATAGGCGTCAGGATCCAAAACCACAGTCCCAGTCCCAGGAGTACATTCGCCTCGGCCCACCAAGGGCTCACAAGCGGGTTGTTCACATAAGCGATCTCGCTCCAGTCGAATGTCAACAATCCCATGCCCAGCCCCGTCTGCGTTCCGAAGAGCTGGTTCACCACCACATCTTCCGGCAGTGCCCAGCATAACCAGGAGAAGGCTGATAAGCCGGTAAAGAGGTAACCTGGGACCCAGTACCATAGGAAGGCAGAGACTAGGCATATCCAGAAGAACTTCCAGCGCGAGAGAAGGCCGTCTGCGAACCCCCAGGTAGAGTGCAGCGTGTTCAGCACGGCGCAGGAGACGAGCTGTTGGGGCCAGATCATGCTTGCTGGCCAGACGAGGAAGGGGCGGCAGATGCCGGCGAGGGAGAAACCCATGAGTTGGGAGGAGATGCTGCGCGGGTGTGTGAGCGAGCGAGAATGCTGGGAGTGGGAGGGGGCAAGGGGGGGAGGGGGACGTACACGAGACATAATTGGTAGCCGACGTCCCACTGCTGGTTGTAGTATGTCCTTTGAGCAGCGACAATCTCCGTCGCGTACGCTCCTCCCGCAACGACGTTAGCCATGACGCTTATGAGGGCTACGCACTCAGTTCCGACGTGTATGCGCGTGCAGGGGGACTCACTATGTTCTTTTATATTGAACGGCCCGGGGTTGAGGGTCCATTCCCATGTTACCCAACCCTTCCCCCACCTGTAGACCCAGATCCTCCACCGGCGCGTACTTAGCACCCTCTCCAACGCCTTGCCCAACGGGAGCGCCAAGAGCTGGGCGAGCAGGCTCGTTATCTGTATACTCGGATATCGGAGTGAGAAGAACTGGTTAACACCGGAGATGAGGACTGTGAAGAAGAGCCCGAGCAGCCATACCCGGAACGTATTGCACGGCATGCCAGGATCATCGGTGTTGCTCACGCTAGCCCGCACTTCCGCGTAGGGGGAATCGTCTTCCCACTGAGTGGAGTCTGTGTCCCAGTTCGGGTCGAGCTCGTGGGAGAGAGAGAGGTCGTACGACTGGGAAGGGTCCAGCGAGCTTAGGGGAAGGGCGAGGACGTCTGGTTCGTCGAGTTTTTGCGAGGGGTCTTTGGAGGGGAGATCGAGGTCGAGCAGGGCGAGAGTGCGGGCTGTGGGTGTTGATGGGGGGTGGGAGGGGAAGGTATAGTTAGGGTCGTTGAGGTGGAAAGAGGCCAGGCTGGTCCGAGGCGCGGGAGAGGACTCCCTTTCTGCTCCTCTTTCTAGTCCTCTGTCACTGTCTCTATCTCGATCTCGTTCCATCCCTCGTCCTCTTTCTCGTCCTCTTTCTCGATCTGGGGCCCCATCAAAATCCGGGTCCCAATCTCGCTCCCGCTCGTCATCTCGTCTCCCAGAGGGTAGTGAAGGGCACAACAACGCCCTTGCCGACGACGGTCCGGAGGAAGAGTCCTCCCCGATCCTACTAGGGACAGAAGCGAGGGAAGCGAGGGAAGCGAGGGAAGCGAGGGAAGCGAGGGACAGCCTGCTTGGATTTGGGGATGAGGAGTAGGATGCGGAGGGCGTTGAAGGGAGGGGGAAGGGCCGGCGGTGATGTGGTTGGGAAGGGGTGGTACGGTGTAGAGGGAGAGGGGGTGGGTCGGCCATCCTATTGACTAGGGTGAGGAGGAGGAGGAGGGGGGGGGG